AAAAAAAAAGCAATTGAACAAACCAGTCCACCACGATTGACAACTCACCTCTTTAAAGGCGGAAATAAAACTTTGACACAATGAGTCAACTTCATCGATCATTCCTTGTTCGCAACAAACAGCTAAATTAAGAAAGGCGGGATGGATGTGAGCAGTAGAGGGAGGATCGGGACATTCGGAGATTGGTCCCACAGGAACTGAAAAATGAAAATTTCATGGAAAAAAGTTTTTTCTGGATTTCGATACTTACCATCACTTCCTATACTATCATCTGAAGGTGATTTGACAACATTGGCACAAAGATCTGCAAACATGACATTTATGTTTGATACAACACAATAATCAGAAATAACATACCAAATTTGACTTCTCGCGCAGTCTGATGTTTGTTCTCGCTACGAAGAGCAGATTTTCCAGGAGCGTGGTTATTTGTCTCATTCTGATAAAAGATATCAGGAGATACTAATCATCTCAAAAAAATCAAAAAAACGCTTTACCTGCGCATGGTTTACTTCACCATTCTCCACCTTTGCTGAAACAGCAGCACCTTTCACTTCTTTCGGTTTCTGATTATTCACATGATCGGGCCTCTTCTTTTGCTCTTTTGAACCAGCAGCAGTATCCTTTTGCGCGGCGGCTGCTTTTTTGGCTGCGGCAGCCTCAGCTATAGATAAAAAATAGAAAAGAAAAAAAGAGTTTTAAAAAAGAGTTAAATCTAACAAAATCAAAAGGATGAGAGAGAATAGTAGATGAACAAATCAAAACGAACCGCGAGCTTTCTTCTCAGCCGCTTTCTGTGCTCGCTGAGCCTTCTTCTCCTCTGCGCTCATGGTACTATGCTAAAAAGACATTTTTAGGATGGAAATGAAGATTAATAAGAGAGTAGACAAAGAAGTCAAAGGCAGGTTTTAGAGTGTGCTTCAAAACTGACTATGCCATAACTCATCGCGCAAACGTACAAAAAGTTTGACCACTTTCATTTTCCACTAACTTTTATTTTTTTTACCCTAGAGCGAAGATTCGCAGAAAATGACAAGAATTTTACAGAAATCATAATAGCTATTGTTTCCCACCTGATATGGGACAGAAGGCCATATTAAAAAAAACCAAATGAAAAGCCATATTTGTTTAACATAACTGAGTAGCATTATTGGTGAGATACTCAAAGGACTACAATTTCTTGAGCATAGATGCTGTCTTACCTCATCCGCACTTTGATTCGTCAGCTTTGGTTCTTTTGGCTTCTGAGCGTTCTTGTTTGCTTCCTTATCAGCCTTTGGGGGTGTTTTCGCTTTCGGAGGAGAGTCCTTTGGCAAAGTTCTGTCTGGTGAAGATGCCGCGTTGGCGTTTACCTCGGACTTTGCAGCTCCAAGAACTACTCCCATTTTCTCTATGCCTTCCGTAATTTTCATGATGGATTGCTAAAAGATGAAGGAGGAATTAAGACAAAGGTTGATGACACATATTTGTAAACAAAGACTGAAACAGTGAAGCTGTGTCCACAAAAATAAAAGCTACTCTGACTTTGACAAGCACCTTCAAAAGCAGAACTGGGAATGACGTAATTCGCAATTCTTAATTTTTTACATAGCTGAAATAGAGGCTCTAATCGCAAAATTCTTGATTAAAGTTCGGAGAGAAGGTTTCCCGGGCTACTGATCAAAATTATCACGGAATTATGGCCGGTAGTGTTATTTCTAGA